ATTCTTGCATAAACCGTGGGGCTGGTCCTCCTTGGGCAATGCTCACAGCAAATATTTCACCTGCAACTCTAGTTCAAATATATATATATGTTAGCAATAGATGATGAAAGGGCATTATACTACTTATAGTATAATCATTTACTTATATAAATGATTCATCATTAATTATACCATATACAGATGACATTTGTTTGTAGTGCTTCACTTCAAATACACATTTATCAACACAAAAATTACTGCTATAATTAAAATCCCAACATTATTTACCAAGCGTTAAATTATTGAAAATGAATTTTGTAAATATGAAGTGAAGCTTTAATCCAAAAGGTAAGACACTTACTTGAACAGCTCATTATCGAGATCATTCAGGGAGTACTTAGGCATTTTTCCATTCTTTGAATCACCTTCAAAGAGACGTTTTTCAAAGCCGGCAACAATTGCTAAATGTGTGAGGGGAAAAGGGAAGTTTTAGGCAACAAAGTGACAGAACAGCTTGTGTATATAAATATATAGGGGTTGGGTTGAAAACAATTTTAGGGTATATTTAAAAGCATACTACACACTGGTAAGAAACTCTTTCCTCAGTGCCCCTGTGTCAACTCCGGGTTCTCCCAGGAAGCTAATTTTCAAGGGATTGACAGGGCTTCCTGTTTTTTGCCGTTTCCACATCTTTAGACCTCTCTCAACCATATTTTCTCGTGACACGCATAATTCAAATGTTTTTGTGGCATTTATCTGTGCTGCTGCATATTGAATTACGTCCTCCTCACTGTAATAAAAAAAAACATTTACAACCTCTGTAGTGTATTGTTTTGACAAGACAATAATTAGATTACCGCTTACTAGCTTACCATGAGATGTTATCAAAACCAAAGGAGGGTTGTTCTTCTCTCACTTCATATGGACTGCTTTTTATCAAATAAAGAAATTGTGTTTAAATAAAATGGAAAGTTTTTATTTAACCTCCTGCCATTCTAAACCCATAAAAATACACAAGTAGTTTAATGATTTGTTATGAGGACTGTTATCAATATTACATTAAAATTGAGAAAGGATAGGTAACATAGTTCCGATCTAATCTTTTTGTTATATAGAAAACATTGTTTTTAAGCTTTAAAGTGAGTAACTACAAGTATTACCTTTCTCCACAAAAGCTGGCATGTACTTCTAGTTCTGAAACAAGAAATGTGTCTGTGCAAATTGGGCACTGGGCCTCAAGTGCCTAAATATATATACAAAAAAAGTATGCTGGAGTGATTTTTTTTTATAAAAAAGTAATTACTAACTGTGACCATGGAACACAAAGCCAGTCTTATATTGCACAGGCATGTTTGGCAAAAGCTAAACAATTAATGACTTTCTGATTTTTGTCAAAAATCATTATAATTTAAAATAAAGATTGTTTCATTATGCTATTTAGTAAATTTCCTACGGTAAATACATTAGCAATCAAGTTTTGATTAGTACTGTGCATTGCTAAAAACTTCATTTGAATTACTTTAAAAGTGATGCAACCTCTGATTCCATATATTCTAATAGTTGTATCTCAGCCAAATATTATCCCATCCTAACAAACCACGGAAAACTTTATTCAGATTTCAGATGATGTTTAAATGCCAGTTTCCAAAAATTACACTTTTAACTGATTTTGTGTTCCAAGGTCACAAATGAATGTGTAGTTTTAGCATGTGCAGTGTACCTCCTGAGCGTATGGTTTAACATTGGATGATGTTGCATCATTAGAAGGTGCAATATTTTGCCTTGAAGACGCTGTCTCCTCTATCAACACCAAATCATCTTCCTGTGAACAAAATAATAATAATTGTCTCATGCAATTCTGGGCTAAGAATTCTAAGATTGTGATATATATTTTTTTTTATATATATATACTGTGATATGAATACAACTTCACCAAATGACTTAATATCTCTATTTACAAAATGTATGACATTAGATTGATTGGAATGATTCTACAGTGGGAATGCATCTCCATAAAGTCTAATAAACAACCTAAATACAAATCAAGAAAAAGATACAACTAAAGTGTTTTATCGTTTTCGAGTCAGTAATAGTAATTGAGTACAGTAATTGAATGTTAAAAATAAAAATGAATCATTGTTGAAGTCACAAATGGTAAATTTCTTATGCCTAAATGCTTTTAAAATCATTACACAGTGACAGGCATGAAAAACACCCGCAAATGATAAATTAAAATACAAACTCATCATTGCATATATCCTGCAATGTGACTACTGCAAATAATCACATTGTGATACTGATGCTGAAATATATATTGTGCAGCCCTAATTTATTTTTATATTTTAATTTGAACTTTACCTCATTTTCAGAAGTTTCCAAGTTGTCACACTGTTCAGCATGCAAAGCCAATGTCTGAAGAGGCATCAAAGTATTGCATTTTTTACAATGAGCCTTTGGCATTCTTGCAATTTCAGGTGCATCTGGTGGCATCAACAGTGGCGTCAAATCAAGCTCATCTTGAAGTGGTACGATGTAGAGTAAATTTTTTCCTCCACCTGAGGCATTTTTGATTAGTGATCCTGTATACCCCTCTGAATCCAATGGTACAGCGGACAGTCTCCTTCGTCCATTTCCACCTACATTGTTGGGTGATACAACAAAAGAAACAGGATGACAAAAGTTTTGTGGTCTCTAAATCTCAAGTTATTTTTCAGAATGTGAACACTTAATGAAACCAGACCTGCCGCTTTGAAAATTAGCCATCTGTCTTCCAAATCATTCATTTTTGGATAGGTTTCCCGTAACAAATTTGACAACTACAATAATAAAAGCTTCAAGTAAACAAACTGTTTAACAACTAATACAACAAATATTGCTTTTTTTGAATGTGTTTGCTTAAGACTCCTCACCTCTGGATGTGTTGAATCTGAAGTTAAGGACAGGGTCCTCTTCCCTAAACCTGCTTGCATTAACTCGAGCTCTTCCGACAGGGATGGGGTTGTTTCTGATTTAGATCCCAGCAAAGAAACAGAGAAAGCAAATCTCTTTTGTGCCTTTGCTGGGATTACAGGCTTGTGACTTTTAGCAAGCTGTCGTTTATATTTGCCAGCATTTTTAAAAAAACCAGGAAAGGATCTGGAAATGACAGAACAGGTAAAACTATGTATACTTTTTGTAAGAATCAGACAATACAATCATTCTGTGCTTAACATAAGAACAGGTTCAAGTCTGTTTTCCATTGTCATGACTAAACAGCAAATATGTAACTACAAAAAATTTATATATATATATATATATATATATATATATATATATATATATATATATATATATATATATATATATACACACACACACACATTTATATATATATAATGTTTTTTTTTTTTTTTTTGGAATATTCAACACCTGAACTGGCCCTTTAAAATATGCTTACTGTTCTACCTAGCCATTTCATGCTCCACTGTGGCCCTTTCTGACTGCTGGGGTTGGATCTGAGTCTGGCCCTGTCTTGAGTTTTCATCTGGTATAACTCTTGCCACCAAGGACATAAAATGCTGTGCAGCTTCCGTAATGGCACGTTGGTCATACTAGGGGAAAAAGGTTTTGATGCAAAGCACTACTATCACAATACCGATCAAATTACAAAATTATCATCTGATTACTTTGTAGGAATAAGGTAATAATTACCGGTTGCTGCGATCTGCCTGCTTGGTTTTCCATTCTGTAAGAATAGAAAGAAAATGAGATTGACAATTTATATATCTTTAAATAGACACAACAGGGGCAGACTGGCCAAAGGGTGGGACGGACCCAATAGTCTACCTGGCCTGCCACTGTGAATCTGGCTTTCACAAAAGTTTTTTTTTGCAAATTTTAAAAAGGAAATCATATTAGCAGTTAATGAATATCAAAGTAAGGTTACAACATTGTTCACAGTCAATTACATAGTGCTAACATTGTTTTGAAGTTAACGTTATCCTTGCATGCTATATCAGACTCAATATTAAACTTAGCGTGGTAAACAATATATGGGCTGTTAAAGGAACGAATGTACGAATATCAAACCTATTTTACCTCAATCTCTCCCGGTCAAAAATACTGTCCCAGGTAGAGATCTGCACGGGAATGCAGACCTCTAGTACCAGGCCGCCCCTGCGGCACCATATTAACATTAGCTTTCACAAATGTTTATTTACTCTGATGTCCGGCTTCACTAAAACCAGTGATTTTAAAGCTGTCATCTATAGACATAAGCAAAGCCTGTTTTTACAGTGACGGTACATTAATGTATATTTTCCAAAATAACATACAGCGGCCTTCCGTTGCCTATTGCAGCTGTGCACTACTGAAGGCCGACAGCAAATGTAAGTTAATCGAGATTATTCATCTATATTACGAAGTACTCCGAGCTAATAATAGCAGTCGTTATGTTATTCGATGGGACATGTGGATAATAATATACAAGTTATACAGTTTTTGTTAACTTACCTCGAAGTAGACCTGTTGCTCGCCATCGCTCGTTCATCTAACTGTTAGGGAGTCCAATCGCGCGAAAATGTAGTGGGCGTGGCCAACATGTGACGTCAATCCAGTTTGACCAATGGAAAAAGGCCTCTCATCCCAGAGGGAAGATACCGCCCCCTGTGCTGAAGAGTTCAAAACTTTTCAACTCGCAAGCAAAAATTTAAGATCCGCAAAAAAATCTGACCCAACAGAAAGCAAAATGAATAAAAACCCTACTGGTAACTGAATAAAATGGCAAGTTTATTTTTTGCAATGCAGATCTTTTTTAACCAATGACATTTTTTAAATTAAATGTTTTTTTTTTTCTTTTAATCTTTTATTTTTTAATTACAATGTACTTAGTTTTGGTCTAATACTAAATATGTTTGTTTGAATAATAAAGACACAAAAATTACTCTAGCATACAGTGGTTCAAAACTTTTCAACATGCAAGCAAAACCTTTCAATTCGCAAGCAAAGATTCTAGATGTGCAATAAATGACAGCAGAACAGAGAGCAAAATTAATGAGTGTGCAATGAAAATTGTGCTTACTGCATAGTTTATTTTTTACGATGCAAAACATTTTATTATCACTGACATATTTTTTTTGAATGAAATTTTTTTTATTTGCAATCTTTTATTTTTTAATTACTATGTGCCTAATTTTTCCTTTAAAGTAAATATTTTGGATTAAATAATAAAGAAACAAAACTAGCTCCATAGTTTCGCAGTTCGCTGCATTGGAAAATTCAAGCTCCCAACATCGTGTGACTTTGCATTTTGTTTGAAAATAGAATATCAGGTTGAAATCAGAACCAAATGTCAGGCCGACATCAGTGTCCAATGTTGGACAGACTTGCATTTTGGTCACTTTTCAACACAACCTAAAAACAACAAAATATCAGTTTCTAATGATGTTACAGCTTAATGTTGCATCAGCTATACCAATATGGCATTTTAGAGACGTTGGATTTTGGTTGCTATATCTGAATAAATGTCAATATGACATCGGTTTAAGATGTTGGCTCGATGTTGGATTTTGGTCACCTTCTAACACAACCTAAATTGAACAATCTATCAACTTCATTATTAAGACCTCAAAATAAAATTGTCCTTAGATGCTCACAACCTTAATCTAACCTATTATTAATTTCTTATGACATTGTGTGTCTGCTGGGTTAATATAATACAAGATTGTCTAAAACATGAAAATGTTTTGAATAATTATAACCAAAAAATGAAAGTTAATAGGTTGTCTAAAATCATTCAATAACTTTATGCAACTTAATATGGACATTAAGAGAATGTTTTAGAACCTAAATATGTACCATCCAAGAGCAAACACAAAGCTTTCAGACAATCCACTTGTTCTTTACAAAAATCTTCTGATATTTATATTAAAGAGTAAAAAAAAAAAAAACTGCAGAGTCAATATGCTTTTTATGAATCGACAAAGGTTATAGAAAAAGTTTGTATTTTCACTTTTAAATGTGTGTGTTTAAAACACTGTATCTTTGTTTACTGAAAATGTTTGCGATAACATTGTTCAAAGAGTGGACAAGAGGAAACAGAAAAAAAGTGATGAAGGGCTTAACAACAGACCCTCAAGTTTATCTGATCTGACTGGAACTGAAGCCGTGTAACTAAGAGTGAAAACAAGTGCACATATAGCATGCTGTAACGAGGAGACTGACACGGAGGGATCCATTATGCAGTATTTATTAGTCACACTCACACATCCAATACGCACAAAGGTGCGTACACACAACAACAGTATCAAAAAGGGTTTTAAGGCTGGCGGCTGACAGACTCAGAGTGATTTACCAGGCATGGGTCAGAGGCAGGCGGCGTGGTTCAGAGTCCGTGTATCAGGCTAGGGTCGTGGGCAGGCAGCGTGTATCAGAGTCCGTGTATCAGGCTTGGGTCGTGGGCAGGCAGAAGGTAAATCAGAGTCAGAAACAGTCCGGAGTAATGCACAGGAGATCAGGCAGGAAATAACGCTCAGTAATGCTGGCCGGGGCTGAACAAGACTTCGAGTTCAGGTTTGAGTGTGGCTTAAGTAGGTAGCGTGGGTCATTAACTGGATGGAGATTCCTCACAGCACATTCACATTTTAATCTGAAAAACAAAACTGAAGTTAACACCTTGTATTTGTATTATGTTGTCTTTTCCATTATTAGCCTACTAAAAGGGCCTGTATATATATATATATATATATATATATATATATATATATATATATATATATATTAGGGATGTGCGGAGCAGCCGGTATTTGTATTTGTATTTGTTGAGGGGGGAAAAGTATTTGTATTTGTATTCGAGTAAAATTCAAGATGGCGCAAAAATATATATTTTTTCTATTACACTTATAATTTACGTTATAGTGAAAGTATTGTTTAATTATACCCATTATATAAATTATAGACATGCAATATTGGCTGTTGTTTTTGAACATGTGATAAGAAATGTCATTGAAAAGATAATAACATAGAAGCCATTATCTCATCCATGGTTAAACCAACAACTAATAAAATACCATTGTGAATATTATGAACCCCACCACCACCGTTCTTGTTGAAGGACACTGAATAGACAGAATAAAAACAAATAATACTTCAAAAAACTGTTCTTCTTCTGAAAGAACTTCTTTCCAATGGACAGAATTCCAAAAACTAATATTAACTAAATAAATCTACATAAAACCCTGCCCGGGAGATCTGGCAGAACAAAAGTATTCTATATAATACTAAAAGATACAGCCCTGCTATTATCATCTGCCAGCCACAAAAAAAGACACAAAGTTTGTTTGTTTGTTTTTTTCATGTTTGAAACTGACTTGCTGGGGCAGAATGTGGCTGTGTTGATGGTTTGGTGCATGTGGAGGATTTAGTAGAAAATAGCTGTGCTGATTGAGGGGATTGATGCTTGTGGGGGGTTCACAGACAGTATCAGGAGAGGATGCTTTTAGTGCATGTGATAATACATTACATAGAAGGTTGCGCGGTGGCACAGTGAGTAGCACTGTCGCCTGACAGCAAGAAGGTTGCTGGTTCGAGCCCCAACTGGGTTATCCCCATGTTGGCGTGGGTTTCTTCCGGGTGCTCCGGTTTCCACCACAGTCCAAACACATGCAATGCAGGTGAATTGGGTAAGCTAAATTGTCCCTATTATATGTGTGTGAAAGAGAGTGTATGGATGTTTCCCAGTGCTGGGTAGCAGCTGGAAGGGCAGCCACTGCGTAAAACATATGCTGGATAAATTGGTGGTTCATTCCACTGTGGCAACCCCAGATTGATAACGGGATTTAGCCGAAAAGAAATGAATGAATGATTATGAATAGAAAATGTTGACAGATGTTTAATATCGCTGCCTCTGCTGATTTCACTTTTGCACACATTATACAGTATCACTTTGTTTTATCTGCAGCTCCACTGACTGTAAAATTCTTCCACACAGAACCTGAAGGTTTTTTTTTTCTTTTGACTGGTGGAGGACCAAGAAATGGCTCAGCTCAGCTCAGTCTTTTTCACTCTTTTTCTGGGTGCCCAATTGTATTTGAGGAGTTTCAAGTTAATAAAAAGTGAGGGAAGCTATGTTAAGGTTAACTAGCCTATAGCATATATCTTGCTGTCTGCAAAAGACAGTAATTTAGACGTACCATATAACTCCCATAAGTGGATACTATTCGACACAACTGCACAAGCATCGTTTTAACCTTTATAAACGAACGTTAACGTTACTCTATCAACAGTCTATTGTCTAAATTACCGCGCTAACAGAGCTAACGTTGCATAAACAGACCACCCGGTTGCACACGTCAATAATGCAGCGTAATAGAATATCCCGATCAAACTCCGCTTCAACTCTGCTACAAGTTTATAAACTGCCCTTGGAACCCAATTAAGGTACAAAAATCTATTTAACAAAAATAGTGATGCAGTGAAATATTTTTTTCGCTCAGCCAAGCCTTCTGTCTGTTGCTGTGGAGAAGCTTGTGCCAGACACCTTTTATCTCCGCCCCGCCCTCCGACTACTGACTGAGGCCGTACTCACACTAGGTACAGTTGCCTCGAACTGGGCCAAAGCACGCTTGTCCCCCCTCCCGTCTCCCCTGACGGCCCGCGCTCACACCATATCGGGCCTCGGCAAGCTTACGTCATCGCTGCTGCTCTGTTCAGTGAGAAGCGCTCTCTATGGCAAGCCTTTTTAGTAGGGATGTAACGGTATCAGAATTTCACGGTACGGTAATACCTCGGTATGAATGTCACGGTACGGTATTTATTGAATCATTTACAGGAAAAAAAAAAAACTTTTGAAAATACTCCAAAAAAGTGCCAAAAGTGTCAATGACATACAAATTAGCCATCTATCTGTTAGCTTTGAAACAGGAACTTCAATTTTAATAACAAAAAATTATTAAACCATGTAAAAAAAATAAAGTTTCAATTTAGTATTGTTAAAAACTCATCACATTTAACATTTAATCACTCACTTAGATAGAGATGGGTTTAAAGGAAAATTATCATATAACTATAATCTGGTAAAAGCTGGTATTTCTGGGTATTTACAATGTCCCCTGCAACAGAAAAAACCCCTCTCATTTGGGACTGAGGATTCTGGGACAAGAGAGATATGACTTGGCCCATGTTGACAGCAGTGGGGTAACGTTGTGCATTGTCTTTCCCCCACTTGAGAGGACAAACCATGAGTGAGATAGAGATCTCTTTGCGGTACAAGTCAATGTCTGCATCAATCTGAACAGTGTGCTGTGTTTCTGCAGTCCCCATGACTGTTATTAGTCGTATTCCCCAACTTGCAGGCACGTGCACACATAGGGCTCAACCTGTGCAGTGTACATGCCCTTTTTAGTCTTGGATAGAAAATGCCCTTCCAAAACGATCAAAAAAGCCCCCGCGACGCGACACAACCTCCGTCCAGTCCAGCCCTTCAGTAGGCGCGCGATAACACCTCTCTTGAGTATGCGCGCTCAACCCCCCCCTCGGCGCTTTACAATACGCGCGCCACAACACAGCTGATCAGAACGCGCGCGACAGCACCGCTATTCAGCACGCGCGCGGCGACAACACCCGCTTTAGGTTCGATCATTTCCATCTTTTTTTCATCTCCGCTACTAGCAGCACACTCCATTTCCGCATTACTGGATCTGTAGCGACAACAGACCGCAAAGGATTATG